AAAAAAAAAAAAAAAAAAAAACCACAGTGTAGCCTAATCATATGTTCCCTTATGTTAATCTAAAATAAATTTTTAAAAAAGGAAAAAGATAATAAAAATCTTAAGCTGCATGAACAGAGGCAGAGCAACTTGACAGAAAGACACTGTACCTTCCTAGCTGCTGGTCAGACACATCTGTACCTTTCTTGTGCTGGGCAGGAGGAGCTCAGGTACATTTTGGCCCCCTCCTCACCATTGTGGGATATCTGCCCATAGGGAGAACTATGCATCAGGGGAAGTCTGGAAACCTCTTTCCTTTTTCTGCATCTACTTCTTGGGCAAATCATTCGAAGAATATGATGAAGTGACAATGACCATGGGCCCTCTCTGAACCACTGGGCCTGTTCTCAGTGCTTGCTGTTGCACTTCCAATTTGCTATGGGAGCTTTGGGATTGTTTGGGTCCATCCATCAGAACCTATTATCAGTAGGGCAGCATATACGCACCTCCCAAAGATAAATTTTTTCAGATGGAATAAACAGGAATTTTCAAGTGTGATTACAAGGAATCACCTAAGGAAATGCCATTGAACTTGGCAGGGACTTAGGTGAGAATTTCTGGGCATGAAGGGTGCATGGAGACTGGGGTGTGGTGTCTTGGCAGGCCAGTTTAGGGGTGAATTTCTGGGCATGGAGCGTGCATGGAGACTGGGGTGTGGCGTCTTGGCAGGTCAGTTTAGGGGTGAATTTCTGGGCATGGAGGGTGCATGGAGACTGGGGTGTGGTGTCTTGGCAGGTCAGTGGGGGAAGAAGACGTGCTCAGGTACATGTCAGTCCAGACAGCTCTCTCAGTGACCATGCTTTGTCCGGATGTATCTGAGGTTTCACAACCGCCTCTGTTCCCAGCTATGATCTGGCTCTGGGCTAGCAATCACCACCTTTGTGCTTCACATAAATGTTGCATTTGCAAAATTTCCCCTAAAGCACTAGTTACCAGATCTTTCTCCATGGATAAAGGAGTATCATTGGCAGTGGCACAAGCAAATAAATATAAGGTGATGACTGTGTTAGACTTAAAGAAAAAATGACTGTATGTCAGCAGAAGAGATTTTCACATGTTGTTGCAGGTCAGAAAACTCTTGGACTTGATTTGGGAAATGCTGTCTGATGAAAATAAGATGGCAAAAATTGTCATATGTGTGGAAAATTAACTTTGATTTTCATTTTTCTCTATGATATGTTCTTTGGGGGAATACTCACCTGAGCCTCCTACCTTATCAAAGCAGAGTTGTTCAAAATCCCACTCTGAATCTGTTTTTCTTTAGTAAGTTAATTGATCATATCTTCATTAAATGTTGTTTGAGGACTCATTTTTAACATTATTGATGTGTGATCAACAACTCGGTTTCAAAAGTACATTTTTGTAAAAGAACCCTAATGAAGAACAGGTAGAAGGGACAGGCCAAGAAAGTGAAGATTTTCAGTGCCACTGGCTTCACATCCAATTTTCAACTGCTGATTCTTCTTACAGATCCTGAAGCATTCTTTCTGAGTAGAAACTTTGTTTCTCCCTTCCAATCTCTTCCCACACTGTTCTCTAATTTTCTTTAGAAGGGCTACAGCTTTTTATAGTGGGAGAGGGGTGAAAGTGAGCAAAAATGGTGTTCTCCACCATCAGCCCCGGGTTCTCCCTGGCCTATATTTATTATCTTTAAATGCACAGGTTTTTGGAGAGATTTATCTGAGGATAGCAGAAAAAAGTTAGAAGTCTCTATCCTTAGAAATAAATTCTGAGATTTTATTACTTTGTGAACATATCTTTTGCTCTTACACATTAGGTAGTAAGAACTATTGCCTCTCAAAACCATGAAGTGTGTAGTCAGTCTATATTTCTCCACCTCTCCAGCATGGCTTTCCCTGGATTCAGTCCATCACTTTCTCTGCTCTGAGTCTGGAAGGCCCAACGTCTCGCTATTACATCACTTGGACGCCCTCACTCCCTGATTGCTGCTCAGGCTGGCACAATGGGAGATGCGCGTGAGAGGCTGAACTTACCGGTATCTTCCTGCTCTCTCCCTGCCTTTCTCTGGTCCAAGCTACATTCCTCTCTCTTCCCCCACCAGGGCAGGTTCTATCGTGCGGGTCGTTTCTTGGCTTCAACTCTCATCAGGTGCCGGTTAAACCATTTCTCCCCTTGCCCTCAGGCTTAGGAGACGGAACGGCTTCCTGTCTTTAGAAGTCCTTGGGTGCCTGTGTGTCTGCAATAAGTTCTCCTCATCAGGTAACCTCTTGGCGTAAGCCGTCTATTTTTTCTTAGGTGCCGCCTAAACCCCAGGCTCGAGAAAGGCTTAGAGAAGTCTTGAATTCTGCCATCAGTTCCTCACCTATGTATTCAGCATCCCTGGTTGTACTTTCTGAGCCACTGGCATGGTGGGCAGCTGCTGTGATAACTAGAGTGTAGTCCTTCATGTTCTGCTGGAACCAGACTTCTGACCTTGAAAGGCCATTTGTGTGAGGTCCCCAGCCATTTATTGTGCTCTGATGAAGAGAGCTGTGGCCACTGCTGAATGAGCTGTTCCAGTTGCAAGTGTTTCCCTCACTAAGTATGTGTCCTGCCATGTGAGGTGCAATGGATGTGTCCATGTGTTTGTCTGTGTCTTTGGATGCAAATGCTGAGAAGAGAGTGTAGCCAGCAAAGATTAAACCAGTACTTAATCTTCTTTCCCGCAACACATTTCATTTTGATTTTGATGAGGAATAGAGACAGAGTAGCAAATACCTCTGCTCATTTAGAAAACATTCAGGATTCTGAAGGAGGATGAATGAGTAGAAAGTACCCAGGTTGTGAATCAGATCAAACGGAAGTGGAAAATTGGTACTAAGACTACAAGCACAGCAAATAAGAACAATTAAACAATTGATTAAAATTTCAGTATGCCTGTGGATTAAATCCCAGCTTTGCCACTTACTAACTACATGGTACTCTGGCAAATCACATAACCTTATTAACAGACAGTTCACTCCTCTATTCTTTGGGGCAATTCTACAGATACTGCAAAGCTTTTTGAGCATTTGCCAGGCAATAGTTGTTCAAGCCGCTATTACGGTGTAGCATGTGAGCTTACTTATCCACCCAACTCCTACCTCTTTTTTCCCCATCACTGCCCTTCTGTACTTTTATATTCTTGTAACTGACGTAGTTTTATCTTTTCTCCTGTTTGTTTGTAAGTGTTCTGAGGTCTGGACTCCATTAGAGTAGTTCTGGAAGCTCTAAGAAAATTTAGAAACTAGTAATGTCTAACTCTTAGCTCTCTGCATTCTGCAAAGCACATGTGTTTGCTAGGCTATTAATATTTATCTTTTGGAAAAATCACCATGTCTTTGGAGATAAGGCAAGAAGCCAAGTGCTGGATATAGTCCTTCAGTGAGGCAAGAAGAAAGGTCAGATGCTGAGGATGTTGATCTGGAGTTGATCCTGTTCATAAATGGCCTCTGTAAACACGTTTGGGCCTGTGGTCACTGACCTCTTCAGGATTTGATCTTATGAGGCTATGCCCTAGTTCATAAGACTGTGTATTCCTCCTTAGAGAAATAAAATAATAGCTATATGTATTTACCATGTATCCCAAGTCTTTAAATAAAACTTAAATATCTATACTCAAATTAATATAGACTTCTTGACATAAACCAGCTTTAGCCAGTGAGAAAAAAAGTTTATGCCAATTTAATAACCTAAAAGGAGATTTTTATGTTAAAAGGATATTTTTATTTACAGGACTATGATTTGAGAATGCAGATTGTTTGGCATCATACAGACAAGGTTAGTATTGGGCCTAATAAATTATTCATGCAGAATGATGGAGGGACATGCTATCTTCTTGGTGAAAAATCTTTCTCTCCCTCCAACTAGGCATCAGTCTACCTTGTGGCCTCAAATGATTAAAGTTATTCTCTTCCATGAACACCAACAGGCATTTTTGAAAGCAATTATTATGTGCTTAGTGTTGCATTGGGTGGAAATAATAACAGTACACATGATTTAGCTCATGCCTTCAAAGAAGTTGCCATTATGATTTGAGATATTTTCTTGCTAATAACTTGGATTATTTTGATTGTAAGTGAACTCGTGTAAACTAGTTTAAAACACAAAGCTCAACAAAAACTAGTTTACACACAAAAAGGGCAATTTGCTGTCACTGTTTTTCTCTCTGAGTCGAAACCACTCCTGGAAAACTTCTTCCTCATGTCTGGAACCGTGACCACCAACTACATATAGATTTATTGCCAAAAATAAAAAATAAAAAAATGTTCTTTTGTCCAAATTTTTAGAAGTCATAGTAATCTAATGGACCTCGCTTAGCTCACACAGTAGGTGGCATGAGAAAGCAACACTCTTCGCTATAATCACTGGGTTTAAATAGAAGAGAAGCAGTCTCCCCAAACAAAATGGGTGATGTTATCATCTGCAGTGTGGCAACAGAATGTATGTCTACCTCCGTCTTCCAAATCCCCACAAATTGTTGCTTTCTGAGAGGTATTTGGAGAATGAGAAAATGAGGCCAGTGGAGAAAAGTTGCAAAACAATACAAATCAAGCCTTTAGTTAATTTACTAACCTGCTATACCTTGGAAAGCCAAGCTATGTGAAGAGAAAGTTGTCTTCTCCTCTAATTTCCATTAATAATTAAATGAGGAAGAGATTTGAAGACCTGCTAAAGTTTTGGGCTCAAAATGCCATGCCTGACAATAGTAATGCACACAGTATCCAGCATGCCTGCCCACCTATACCATTTTTAAATTAAAAAAGTGTTGTGAATCTGGATGATGATTCATTTCTAGTAATCTACAGTTGTAGAAAATGTCCCTTTTAGTGCTTTTTAAATTCAACTAGTGGTTGACTCACCAGCTCTTGTTCATCTGGGCAGACTCTGAGAGGGTACAGGAAGGGCAGTGAATAGGGGTCACAGAAGCTGAGCCTAGTGCCCCCTGGTCCTGCCTCTTCCCTGCTAAGAATATTTCACACGCTCCTTGCTTCTCTCAGGCTGAAGTTTCCTCAGTTATAAGCCAACTTTCTCTATTGTCTTTTGCAAGCAAGATCATGCTAAGAGTCTAAAATGAGAAAAATTCTTCTTTCTGGTTCCTTAGGAAGCTGCATATTCTTGGTTTCAGTTTTTACGATGTATTTTGACACTTGGTTTTCTCAACTTTCAAAAGATCCAAGATGGAAAACAGAAATGCAATTTTTTTTTATTTCTACCAGCAAACTTAAGGCAGGACACACCACAGCTGCAGGTAGAGGCTATGACTTGCTAGTTCTTGCAAGGACCTGCATGTCAAAAAGCCAGCTTTGACTCATACAAGGGGTATTGATATCATGTGAAGTTATTCAGAACAACAATCTTAATTCAATGTCTGAATTATTTTTCTTCCAGATGCCTTCAAATGGCCCCTACTCACCACAGAATGGAGGTGATATTGTGGGGAACACATAAAGAGCTTGGACCAAGCTTTTTCAGTATACGCATCCTACAATCCTTGTGGTATGAAGTACTAGGGCAGGTGTGCAGGAGCACAAGACATAAGATTTGTCCTCAGAGCTTGCTGTTTACTTGAGAAGAAGAGAGATGAATTGGTGAAAACAAGAGTAAGTTAACAATGCATATAACTGAGTGGAGCTTGAGTAGTTTAGATATTTGGTGAATATCAAGAAGTCACCATGAATAAATAATCACTTATATTTAGCAGATACGTTTGACAAGTGAAAGAAATAGTTGGTTGGCATCACTTCCAAGTTGGATGTAACATTGATGATGATGATAAATTATAGGATGTGAATAACAAAGGTTATTGATTATTGCATGTTTATTAGATGCCATGTACTTTTCATACATTAACTCCAATCATATGGATAATTTCATCCTTCATCAGCAGGGCAGGGAAGGAGTAGCTAACATGTCAAGGGAGTAACAATTCCTTGTTGCTCCAAGTACAATCCTCATCATGTACCACCACCTCTAGATATGAAGTTATACACACAACCATCATCATTATGAATTCACATAATTATCATCATCTTCAAGCTGGGATGCTATGATAAAGAAATAGAAAGTTAGGGAGATGTTTAAAAAGATAAACATGCCAAGTGTCAATGGTGTGATAAAATGTGAAACCTTACTGTGGACTCCAGGAGTCATAAAAGGCGTTACAGAGGAAGGAGGATATGATCTGGGCTTTGTAGGCTTTAGATAAACAGAATGAAATAGGAAAGCCTTCCTAGGCAAGGGATACCTGCTTAGGAAGTCTGTGGAAGCAGGAATGTCTATGTACATGTCAGAATGTAGGTGATGGGCAGTTTAGTTAGAGTAGTAGGTTCCTTATAAGGCCCTACATGGTCTGGCCGCATCACCTCTCTGACTTCATTTCCTTACAGTCTCCACCTCGCTCACGCCACGCCAGCCAAACTTGTCATTTTGCCAATCCTGGAACCTGCCAGACATTCATCAGCCTCAGGGCCTTGCATTTGCTATTCTCTGTCACAAATGCTTTAGGTATCTATGATTTACTCCAATCTGCCTTCCAAGTCTTTGCATAAATACCATCTTGGCGAGGTCTTCCCTGATCATTCTTACAAATACAGACTTCCTTGACACTCCCCATTCCCTTCTGTAGCATCTATTACATTCTAACATCTTGTATAATTTACTTATTTTTTGGTGTGTTTGGTTATTGTCTTTCTCTTCCAACCACATGAAAGCATGAGATTAGTATATTCTAAAATTTTATGTATTTCTGAATTACACTACCTAGAAAAGTGTCTGAGACATAGGGAAAAATTAATTTGTAAGTATTTTTTATTTCTTTTTGAGACAGAGCCTCAAGCTGTCCCTCTGGGTGGAGTGCCATGGCATCACAGCCCACAGCAACCTCCAACTCCTGGACTCAAGCGAGTTTCCTGCCTCAGCCTCCCAAGTAGCTGGGACTACAGGCGCCCGCCACAACGCCTGGCCATTTTTTGGTTGCAGCTATCATTGTTGTTTGGCGGGCCTGGGCTGGGGATTCGAACTCACCACCTTAGGTGTATGTGGCTGGCGCCTTAGCCGCTTGAGCCACAGGCGCCAAGCCACGTAAGTATTTCTTAAATAAAGATTGTTAGTGGAATTTAAAATTAAAAAAGTATATTGAGATGAGATTGAATTTGAGCAAGATCTAAGCAGAGGAAATAGGCAAAAATGTTTGACCCAAACAGTAGCATGAATAAGGTATGTTTCAAAGTAACCAGTTTGGTGTGGTTTGGATTTTTTTCAGTGGAGGGATTCCATCAGTGGTTTAGAAGTAAGGTGATATAGGCTTATAAAAGAGTGTGGCAATAAAATTGCAAAAAAAGAAGCTTATTTGTTTTTAAGGAGGGTATTTGAAAGGAAGATGAATCATGTTTAGTGACTGATGGGACACTACTATTGAGCATTGAGTGGTATAGAGGTGAGGCAGAGCCATGGAGTTTTCTAATTTCTCTTTTTTTCCATTATCCTGCCTTCTCTGCCCATCATGGTGATGATTTATTACAATGAAAGAATATAGAGTAAAGTTAGCAAAACAGCCATGGAAGGCTGACCTTTGTGAACCACCCACCTCAGCTCCCATGGATTCATTCAGTAGGAGGAACAACAATAGATTGAAGGATGGTAGGACAGAAATGAGAGGGTTTTTTCCTCTCTTCTCTGCACTTGGGAATCTGGGTCCTGGCGATGACTACCTTCCACTACCAGGACAGCTGCCGTCCTTCCTACACAGCTCAGAGTCTCACTGAGCTTCTGTGCCCTGGCCCTTGTGTTTCTACAGTTACTAAAAGCTTCCCACTATTACTATTCTCCAGATCCATCTAGACTATTTGGATCATTTTTTTTTTTTTTTTGTTTTCTTAATTGGCTTACACATCTAAAAGTAGTTCTTTCATTAAAGACTATTAAGTTGAATAATCCCTTCTTCTTAAGAGTATGATTTATGCAGAGGGGAAGAAAGTAAGATTGACTGCAAACTTTCAAACCTTGGAAACTGAATTTAAAAACATTACCCTTAAGAGAAATGGGAAAATTCAGAAAGAAAAAAATCAGTTTTAAGGAATGATAAGAATTTAACTTTGAAATAGCTGGAGTTGGCCAAAATGACAAAATATTTAAGTGAAATGCTTTTTAGTCAGATATAAAGGCTAGAGAGCTCAAAATAAAAGTTGAAAGTCATTTCATAATCCATTTACTGAGTTCCCAAAATGAGTCATATTTGGCCTGTTCTTTACTGAAGTCTGAGTGTGACTGAGATCTTTGACTGAGGAATGACAATTATGTGGGAGGGAGTATAGGTTGAGAAATACAGAGAGCCCTAGACTTGAAGCCTTATCCTCTCATTTAGGACTTATAAGAATAGAGTAGTAACAGACAGGAGACCAGAGAAAGAACGGAGAAAACTTTACAAGTAGAGTATGAAGAGTACAAGAATGATGAAGTAGAAATTCAAATATTATTAGGTAATACTATGGGCTATATTTCATGGGAGGAATGCAAATAATAATCAGAATATAGATTAATTTATAATATTAATTATATGCCATAGGTAAAGGCCACCATGTGGTTTATCTTTGAAGAGCTAGTTAAAAAGCATAGACTTAGAGGAAAGGGATTTAGATACATCTACTGGAATCATATATGACATATGACATATACATTTCTCAGTAGGAATGATCTTGTATATTATAGTATGTAATTAAATTTCATTTTTGTCCAGTCACGGTTTGAAGAGGTCTTATGTATACCCCTGTGACTTTATCTTTTCTAAGTTTCATGATAGATTAAGCTCTGGCATTGAAAAAAATACATATTGAACAATTTTAGACTGCATCTAAAAATAAGACCACAAGATCCCTGATTTCATGTTGTATATATAACAGTTGGAAAGATATATAATAAAACACTTAAAAATATTAAAGGAGCTTTCAGATCATGATGAAGACAATTAAGGAAATGCAATAAGGATTTATAACTAAGACATACAGTGTCAGACATGCCAGAAAAGACCTCTCAGGAAGTGACATTTGAGTTGACTTCTGAATAACAGGCCAAGTTATAATCTTAGAGAAGAAGATTTCAGGCAGATGAAAAATAAGTATACCAGACCTGAGGCAGGAATGAGTTTGGAATGCTGTATGAATAGAAGGAAGACCAGAAAGGCTTGAACAAATGTGATTCAGAAAAAGAGTGGTAGGTAAGAATGATTTTATAGACTTGCAGGCCTATAAAAGCAAAGTAAAAGCAGTTAGATTTTACTCTAAGTGCATGGGCAAACCATTTGGGAATGTAAATATGGATGTTTACTCTACCGGCAACATCAGGAATGAATTGTAGGATGCCTAGTGTGGAATTAAAGAGACCAGTCGGGAGACCACTGTAATAGTCCAGGCAAAAGGTGGCTATGGATTGGACTAGAATGATAATAATCAAGATAGAGAATAGCACAGAGATTGTGGATATATTTGGGAACTGGAGCCATGAAGACATGGTGATAGTTAGATGTAGGATAAGAAAAAATGAGGATTTAAAGAAGATTGCTGGATTCATGGCTTTAGCAAGTGAGTAAATATGATGGTAGTTACTAAAATAGAAAAAGTACAGGAGAAACAAGTTTTGAGGATATGATGGGGGTGCCTAAGACCACTTTTAGGTTTCATGATTTTCTAGAAGGCCTCACAAAAGTCAGAAAAGTTATTAAACTTATGGTGATGATTTATTACAGTGAAAGGATAAGGATATAGAGTAAAGTTAGCAAAACAAAAAGGAGCATAGGGTGGGGCTTATGAGAAACCAGGCACAGGCTTCCACTTGTCCTCTCCTGATGGAGTCACATGGACAATGTTTAATTTTACCAGCAGTGATGTGTGATAGCATGTACAAAGTATGGCCAACCAGTGAGGCTCATCTGAGCCTTATGTCCAGGGTTACACTGTGGGGGCATTCACACAGGTTTATAACACCCATATGGATAATGTGGGCTATTCAGTGGTCAGCCTCCACACACACTACCCCTGAAATTCAAACTGATATAGCATGGCTCAGAGCAGTAGGTAAAAAAAGACACTCTTTTCAGTTAGAATACTTCAGGGACTCAGCGTTTACTTGCCAGGAGCCAGTAAAGGTCAATCCTTTACATTCAGGTCAGTTCAGGCCTGTTGAGTTAACCCCTTCTATATAAGGTGGAAATCTAAGAGATCTGGTTTGGAAAATTTGGTGTGCTTCTTTGACATACAAATGGAAATGTCAGAGGTTGGAGATATGACTACAGGGATTTTCAGCATATACAGGATTTTAAAATCATAAGACTAGATAAGATTATCCAAGGGGAGAATCTAAGTTAAAAAGAGAAAAAGGTACAGAGCTAAGGTATAAGGCTTTTCAATATTTTGAACTTTAGGGAAGGAAAATCTGAGAGAAAATGAAACAGAAGGGCAAGTTGAAGATTACACAGTCACAGAAGCTAAGAGAAGAAAGTGTCTCAGCACACAGGAAGTCAACTGCATTGAATGTTAATGAGATGCATAAAGGTGAAAGGTGGGAAGATCACATATGCTTGTAGTTGAGATTAATCTGGTGAAGACAT